CTTCATAGCGCCCCAAACCATTCAGGTTCTCTTTCTCTATCAACTCTCCACCACATGTTTGATCATTATAGTGGCACCGACCCCTCTCACGCTGTGTGGCTGCAAGTGGGGGCCTCTTTGGTGTCTCTCACCCAGGAGCCACCTCTACACAGAACTAAGCAGGGGCCAGGCACAAGTCCTCAGTGTCTTAGTGCTTCTGCAGATGGCGCTGTATCTTGAGACCCATTGTAGATGTTCTTAAACATTGAACAAAGAGAAGTAAACCAAGTTTTCAAATTAACTAGTGTTTTTTTTAAAATAGCATTCACCAGAATTTAAAATTTTCCTTATAAAGTTCTCTATATTTTAGATTTTTTAATTAGTATTTCCTTTCTTAGAATGCTCATCTAAGTTGTATATCTAGTTTAAAATTATACATGCTAAGTGGATTGGCAAAAGAGAAGTTGACTTTTGTAACTTTAACCTTATCATAACTGTTTATTAATTTCAGTATAGCTACTATCTTATATCACCTTCACAATTATACGTGGTCCTCGATTTAGCATTAAACACTGAACTACAGGGCAAAGCATCTATTAAAGTTCAACAATAATGTTTTTCAAATGCAAATTGTTGTACTTATTTCATGAAAGAAAGTGGGAATTTCATATTAAATCAGTATTTTGAAGACAAATTTCCCTTCCTTTGGTTTTTCCTCACATAATTATATGCGATGCTTAGTCATTTTAGTAAAACTATGTGATTATAATCAATATTTTGTCTTAGTTTTCTATCAGAAGACATCTAAAATTAGACATATAAAGCGCTTTCCAAAGAGATTAAAATAGTTTTCACTTCTCTAAAAGGGCAATAAAGAAAAATGCATGTCAGAATGGTAATTCAAGCGACCTCCAATTGACAGCTGCTCGCAAAAGAATAAACAGCTTCCTCCCATGGAGTCTTTAGCTGAGTATAGACAGCAACTCACTTAAGGGCAGGCCCCCTAGAGGCCACCTCAAAACAAGCTCAATGGTATTTTTAGAGATTATTTTTGTATATTTGATAAAACTTTGGCCGTTTTTACCTTCCTCGTCTTTTTAATATATATTATGGTTTTCAAGTTTGTGCTTTTATTGGTTTTCTCCGTGGGTACGTGTCTCTTTGTGTGTATGCGCGTCTCTTGATTCTTTTACTTTTCTTCCTCTATTCATTAATTTTGTTCTATTCTGGCTTGTTTGTTTGTCTGTTTCTAAAGAGTGAGAAAGAAGGCATGCAAGTAGGCTGTGAGGAGGTGGAGATGGTCTGAGAGGCGATAAGGAGGGGAAACCATGGTCAGAATATATTGTATATAAAAATATCTATTTTCAAAAACACCCAATAAATAAATATAAAAGTAAAAAAAATGTAAAGAAAAAGTACTGAATTTTTTTCCTTCCTGCACTTTTGTAAAGAATTGTCAGACAATTAGAGTGTTTTCACATAGATTTCACTCTTCCCTTTTTCCCTTATTTTACATTAATTCTTTTCCCATTGTATTTAAATCATATTTAATTATAAATTAACTTAGTGTACCTTTTCATTTCCATTAGTTTTTCCAGAATAACTAAACCATAATGCCCATAAGCCTTAAGTAAAATATTTGTAAAAGAGAAAAGTGATGCAAAATACCTTCGAATTTTTCCAGGAATTTTATCAAAAACCTCCATTAACAAACTGAAAATAAGTGAGAAAAAGAGAATACAGCGTGATCATTTCATGCTGTCATTTTCAATAGATGGATAATACTCCATATATATTCTTAAATACATACATACAACCTGCTCAGTCTGTATAACAATACTTGTCTATATGTTTTCAGGTATGGTCGTTTGTCAGAAATCAATTTATACCTTGGAGATGTATAATGTCAGTTAATTAAAATCCCGTCTCCATGTTTAAAGAGGTACATGTTACATTCATCTGTGATGGAACGTATCTAATATGAAGAGATCTGAAGGATCAATTAGCAGAAAGAAATTGTTATTGAAAACCAATGTGTGGTGTTGTTGGGTAACAGTTTCCTGAGAATGAAACAACCTATTCTGCAGGGAAACTCTCTAAATAAAAAAGTAAATAACCCAAAAATAGCTTCAGGAAATTTCTGAAATGGACCAGATTCACTTGGCCCCTCCCTGGCCAGAGTAATCAATAAAAGCTGAGAGCTTCCCATAAGAGAATGGAAGCTGAGCTCCTAATAAAATTCTGAGGCCAGACCTGCTGCCTGGAAGAAGCAAAAACCAGCTGAGCTGCCTGGAAAAATTTTAGACCAATTGAGGCACTTGAAAAAGACATACTGCAACGTGTTGAGCAGCTGACAGACTGTGCAGTGTATTCCAGCTCTCTAACTTTGTGAGCTGTCCTCCAGGCTGGGGTGGGCCTTGGTGATGCAGCTGTTGTTTGAGTCATTTCTGCTCCTGTGAGTATCTGCTTCCCCACATCCCTATAAGTAACCCCAATAAAACTCCTGGGTTCTCCAAGTTGGACATTGGTGGTATCTGTACTATTTCGCCCCAGGTTCTGGAGTGAGGAGATGTGTGTGCAGCATCACTTCAGGAAAAAGTTTTGTCAGACAGTTAAGGGTGTGCACTGTGGTTGACCATACCTGTAATCTCTGCACTCAGAAAGCTGAGGCTGGAAGATCTACATGGAGTCAAATCCAGCCTGTGCTAACATATTGAGACTTTCTTTCATTAAAAATTGTACTTTGTATCTGTTATAGTTTTCCTGTGTTTACCTTGCTTTATTATTGATTTAATCATGATGTTTTGCATAATAATTAAGTAATAATATATGAGTCTGGGATTGCTTAGCAATTCATCAGTCTGACTCAAGTTTAATTTTAATTATAGAAATATAAGAGGCTTTTCAAAAAAATCCTGAGAGATCTCTAGGTAAGCCCTCGTTTATTATAAATCCAATTTAAAGACAAAACCCACAAAGTTATAATTTTGGGGTATCCAGGTTAACTCATATCCTGTCTAAGTGCTGGCAAAGCTCGATTTTGTAACAGACATCCAGCAGATGATACCTCAGCCTTCCAAGCAAGTGAATATTTCACACAGAAGCAGAATTTACTTAGTAGTTAGCCTGTTGATCTTGTGACCCATTATCCTGTAAGGATAACTGAGGTACTGAAAGATTTTACAACAATCAGCAGTTTCTAAGAATAGACCAACTGAATCAGGAAGTGATTCATCTTGGGCAAGTTATCTAACAGAGTACATTCAAGGTAGGATCAGCTTCCTTATGAATTACAAGCAAATATATATATGAGTGTGTGTATGTATGTATATATATATATATATATATATATATATATATATATATATATATATTTTACAAGTCTTTTCAATATAGTAAATAATCCTCTAAACAATGTTCACTATTACAATCCCATCAACAGAGATTATGTGTGTAATAACTGAATTACACTAAATGTGTAGACATTAGACAGTAAGCTTGAATTAATACCTACTTGGTTAATTTGACACCAAATTCATCATTTCTAGTACATAATGTAAAATCAAATCCTGTAGAATGATTTATTAATGTTCAAGAAAGCAAGCTGAGAAGCATACAAGCTTTAGGTATAGGAAAAAATATTTTCTGAAGTTTATTTTGGTTTGAATTTAAATTGTCCCCTGAATTATATATTAAATATTTGGTTACTAATTGATGGATTTTTGGAAAGTGACTGTATGATGCAGGTCTGACCTAAGACATGTGTCACAACATTGATGGATTCCTATTTGGAATATTGGAGCTGGCAGAATCTTAGGAAGTTGTTGGGTGATATTTTGTTTGTGTTCTGAAAAATAAAGCTAACCTGAAAGATCAGAGAAACAGAGAAACCACCAGTGACCTCCTACCTTTCCAGATCCTCTGACCAAAAGCACCAAGATCCTGTCTCTACCCCTGTCTCCATCTCCTGAATGCTGGGATTAAAGGCATGAGCTACAACTGCCCAGCTTCTATGGTTAACTAGTGGCTAGCTCCATCCTCTGATCTCCAGGCAAGCTTTATTTGTCAGAACAAAAACACAATATCACAGAACAGGAGGTACTTGAGAGCATGGAGCTGGAGACACATCTGTTTCCCAGCCTCCCACATCCTTCATAATTCAGAGATATTCCTTGTTCTCAAGCAAATAAATTAAAGGTGCTTGTACATTCAGTTTGTAAATACTCCCAAGCATTGTAGCATAGTTTATCTCACAGTTTTTAAGCACCACCAGCAAACTGTAGTTTAAAATGAGCTTTCCCTGCATAGGCCCCTTCCCGGTGGGGCTAGCAGGGAGCCTGCCCGGTGGCCAGAACCTGGGGCCAAGTTGGGCAGGTCTTCCCTGGAGTGGCTGGTGCCCAGGGATGGGGTCTGGGGCGAGGAAGGGTACTCACCAGTTTTCCAAAAGGGAAGTCCGGAGCAAGATGGGAGCTGGGGGCCGGCCTCTAAGTCTCAGGAAGAGGCTTGGGGCTCAGGCAGATGGGCGTGGGGGCAGGGCGTGGAGACTGCAGGGTCTGCCAGGGGTCTTGGAGAAGGGGATCCTTCCCGGTGGGGCTAGCAGGGAACCTGCCTGGTGGCCAGAACCTGGGGCCAAGTTGGGCAGGTCTTCCCTGGGGTGGCTGGTGCCCAGGGATGGGGTCCGGGGCAAGGAAGGGCACTCACCAGTTTTCCAAAAGGGAAGTCTGGAGCAAGATGGGAGCTGGGGGCCTGGGAGGAGGGGACTAGACCTACCTGGACTGAGTCTACCAGGTTGACCTCAGTCTGTGGGGAAGGCTTTGCCCTGGAGGAGATGGGAATGGGGGGGGGGCGTTGTGGGGAAGGTGAGGGGGACGGGAGGGGGGAGAACAAGGGAATCCGTGACCGATATGTAGAACTGAATTGTATTGCAAAATAAATTAAAATAAATTTAAAAAAAAAATGAGCTTTCCCTACTTTCGAGAATTGCTGTCCTTGGAAATGTTTCTGCACCTTTCTACACCAAAGCTCCTTGAAATGAAGGCTAATTATAGGTTTTGATACACATCTGAGCAAAAATTAGCTTTACACAGCCTTTAAAAAGCTTGATTTTTAATTATTATCATTATGAACAGATGGCATAAATAACTTTAATTGAACTTATAAAGCAACATTTGCTATAATCACTTTGAATATCTTGAAACAACCAAAGGACTTTCCTTCCTTTTTTGCTTTGACAAAAAATATGAGTAGAAGAGATTATTATTATTAATTCAATGAATTTTTTTAATTTTAGGGTGAAAATGCTATAATTGACATAAACCAATAGCTGACTTTGACCTGCATTGAGACCAGTAAATTTATTTTGAGCTGAAACTATGTGTCATTATGCAAACAAGTTCAGGAATTTTATCCCTTGGTTTATGTGTTAGATACATCATTTAAAAACAGATATATAAGCTTTAACTAACTTAAGCAAATCCCTATCCTGAAGACTCAGGGATGTAGGCTGATGAGAAGGTGGAGAGATTGTAATAGCTAAAAGTGACAGAAAACTCCAGGGAAGCAGAGTCTTCAAAACTCATCAGGGCTGACACCATCTGAACTCACAGACACTGCAGCAAACACAAGACCAACAGATCCAAGCCAGATAGGGTCACGGCACTGACAGGGAAAAGAGAGAAAGAAGAGGCATGTAGTTGTGGATATAAAGAGATGGGGAGGATGGGAGTTCTGAGAGGAGTTTGGACAGGAAAATCATTATTAGAATACATTATATAAAACTGTTTATCAATAAAAGAAAATCCAGCAAACAAAACTAAATATGCCACACTTGTAGTAATTTGTGTATTAAATGATGTTGGGTGAGGTTGAGAATCACTCTACTGTGGCAATGAGGGCAGGTATGGTTGTTGATGTTTTTGTGTCTATAGCTCTAGCTACTTTTTAAAAAATATATTTGACATAAATTGTGATATGTTAAAATGGAAGTTGAAAAGATCCACAGCTAAACACTAGGCAGAGCTCCAGGAGTCCAATCCAGTCGAAGAGAAAGAAGAGGGATTGGATTCTATGAGCAAGGGGCATCAAGATCATGATGCGGAAATCTACAGAGGCAACCAAACCAAAATAGTGGGCACTCATGAAATATAGGCCAACACCTGTGAAGCCTCCACGGGACTGGACTAGGCTATGGGATGTCTTTCTGTACACTGTGAATGTGTTGCTCTGATTGGTTGATAAAGTTGCATTGGCCTATGACAGGGCAAGATGGAGTCAGCCAGGAAGATCCAAAAGAGATAGTGAAAGGAGAAAGGAGAGGGAGGAGAGACACCAGCCACTACCAGAAGCAAGATGTAAAAGTACCGGTAAGCCACAGCCACGTGGCAACTTATAGATTAATAAAAATGGGTTAAGTTTTAAGAGCTAGCTAGCAAGGTCGTGCAATTAGTAATTAATATTAAGCCTCTGAATGATTATTTTATAAATATCCACAGGCCTGCAGAGGCTAAGTGGACTGGAGAAACCTGACTACACTAGATCCTCTGCATAAGTGAGACAGTTTGTGTAGCTTGATTTGCTTAAGGGACCCCTGGCAGTAGAATCAGGATCCATCCCTGGTGCATGGACTGGCTTTTTGGAGCCCACTACCTATGGTGGGACACCTCGCACAGCCTTGAGTCAGGGGAGGTGGCTTGGGCCTGCCCCTACTGAATGTACCAGGCTCTGCTGACTTTCCGTGGGAGGCCTTACCTTCTTGTAGGAGGGAATGAGGGGGTGGGGGTGGGGGAGACTGGAGGGGTGGAAGGAGGAAGAGGGGGATCTGTGATTGGTATGTAATATGAATAAAAAATATTCTTAATTAAAGAAATAATAAAAAACTTTAATTTTTTGGAAATTGTTATGGGATAAAGTCTTATTCTCAGCAAACTTGCATAAAAACTATTAGTTAGATTAGATAACTATACTGTTCTTTCTAAATGTAATTTTTTTTAGTATTAGAAACTGTTTCCTATTTTATAAAACCCAACAATTTTAACTGTCAAAAATTTTAGTATATAATCCATAAAGTATCTAATTCAAAAAGTGGAAAAATCCATTTGCAACAAACTTCAAACAGTACATGAAACCTACTGGTTGTCTAAAGTCATACTAAGCATTGCTTTAAGTGATATAAATATGGAATCTGAGGCATGTTCAATTTTATTTTCCTCTCCTGCTTAAGAATATGACTGATTGTTTTTCTTTGAATGGGTTAGGTGGAGTTTCCCTTTCCTGACTGCATGCTCCCAAATAACCAGCAACCACTTCCCAAATAAATGATTCGGAGACTTATTATAAATTATAAATGATCAGTTGATAGCTCAGGCTTGTTACTAGCTAACTCTTACATTTAAATTAACCCACATTTCTTATCTACCCTCTGCTACGTGGCTCATGGCTTGTTGCATCATTGTCTACATGTCCTGCTTCCTCTGTTTGTGAAGGACTCTGACCTTCCTCATCCCAGCATTCTGTCTATCTCAGGCTGTCTCTACCAATCTCTTCCTGCCCGCTATTGGCCAATCAGCTTTTTATTAACAATAAAAGCAATATATATTTACAATGTACAGATCTTGATAAAATGAAGCGATAGTAAGTTTTGCCATGATAGAAGGGACCAACCTGTCCAGTCTCAAAGAGTATTTTTTTCTTCAGGAAGACACACTAAACTCACACTTCTTTGAATATATGGAATACAACTACAGGGTAACAAATTAATGGAAAACATGATCTGTGAAAGTGCCATGGGACATAAATAATTACACATTTCTCCAACTAGTCATGATATGCTTTAAATTTTTGAATTTTTAATTCTTCAAATAAAGAACACTGTTGTAAAATGCTAGAGATGAAGAGGAAATGCATTCTTGAATCTTATAACAGAGAGATGGCTCCAGGGAAGATCCACTGAAGTGGAGTCAGACTTTTAAATATTTACTTGTGGGTTGGGTACTATGTATTTGTCCATTATGTTCCATATAGCCAAAGGAATAAAACCATGGTGAGTGGAATAAACTTAGTTTTGTTTTCATTACATGCATTTAATTGGTTTTCATTAGTAACCTTAAATTCTTTGTATTTATATGACCCGTACTACTTTTTTTCATTATTAAAACCAAGATGTATCTATCAAGCTTTAGTATACCTTTTCAAAAAAAAAATAAATACATTTGGATGTAGGAACACAAATTGTTAATTTTATTGTAGTCTGGGGTCTGCAGTTTCTTTCAGGGAAGTGATGGTATTTAAGTTGCTCTTTTGAGTGTCACACAATAATCACCTAATTTAAAGATGACATTTCTCAAGTAACAATTATAATCACCTATTAAAATGTTTAATTGTATATCAATGTAAAACTAGAAAAATATCAACCAAAAAAATGCAACAAAGTCCAAGGGAATAATGAAGGAGGTTTCTAAGGCTTAAATACAATATGGAAAGTTCTCAGAAGATAGAAAAAAAAAGCTCTTAAGCACTGAGCCTGCTCACTAGACCAGAAATCAGATAATTCAATTACCTTATGAAATAGTGCTATGAAATATTCATGTAATATGACTATTTATTTTAGGATCAAGCTCTTGCAAATAATTCAATGCTATTTTTAATCTTTATATTGATAACTTCTGCTTTTCATCCTCTCATTTTTAAGTGTAAGATGGGCTCTCCTTCATAATCTAATATGATTTCACACTCATGGCAGACCTCCTGGTTCAAGTTTAAGTGTGCTTTTATTCAGCATGACTCATCACGCCTAGTTTAACTCCTCCTGTTGATTAACCCTAGCTCATAATATAAATTTAGCTAAATTCCATCACAATTTTCTTTTATTAAAAATATTGTTGCAATCAATAGTTGTATCATAATAGCTGGTCATCTTTTTCTAAGTCTTTATTATTGAATTCCTATGCTGCCTTTCTTGCTCAGATGAGAATAGCTACCTTTTCTTATAATATGAATGGAATTATTGCTGATTTCCTATGCACATAGGAGTTGAATTTCTTCTGATACATCTTATGCTTCTTTTGTGCCCACATAGACATCTGGATGCTCATTAAAATTGTAAAAATACCAACTGAAAGAAAAAAATAACATTGTTATATTCCTGTAATGGAAACAATGAGTTACACTTAAAAACAACAAAAATAATTAATAATAGAAAATATTTCCTGTGGTGATATTGTGTTCCCCAAAATAGTGTGCACCCTAAAAAACTTATCTGAGGTCAGAGAACAGAACAGCCACTAGATACAGAGGCCAGAAAATGGTGGCATGCACACCTTTAATCCTAGCATTCCGAAGGCAGAGATCCATCTGGATCTCTGTGAGTTCAAGGTCATACTGGAAACAGCCAGGCATGGTGACTCACGCCTTTAATCCCAGGAAGTGATGGTAGAAAGCAGAAAGATATATAAGGCATGAAAACCAGGAACTAGGCCTGGTTAAGCTTTTAGGCTTTTGAGCAACAGTTCAGCTGAAATTCATTCTGGATGAGAACTCAGAGGCTTCCAGTCTGAGGAAACAGGACCAGCTGAGGAATTGGCAAGGTGATGTGGCTGTGGCTTATTCTGCTTCTCTGATCTTCAAGCATTCACCCAAATACCTGGCTCCAGGTTTGTTTTTATTAATGAGACCTTTTAAGATTCGTGCTACAATTTTCCAAATGCTGTATCATTTCCTATTCCTAAATTCCTTCTGTGTGTTGCTTAGAATAATATATGCAATAAAATTATTTGAAGGATAAATACACCAAAACAATCTATAAAAACTCCTTATATATTTTCTTCTCAAAAAGTTTCTAAAAGAAATCACGTTTTCAATAAACATATATAAATATACATATATACACATATAAACTATTTACATACATTGTATTTATATACATACTAAGTTAATGATAATTCATAACTGATAAATGCAACAATCAATGACTTGTGTATCACATATATTTCTTTAAATATAACACTAGGGTGATCCAATTTTCCTCTTTACTTTAAAATATAAAGTTTTCAAAATTTTGCAATCATCATTCCCCAGCCCACCATTAACAGATGTATATACACACACAAGAGGTAGCTTTAAGTGAAGTACATACTCAGTAATATACTTCCATTGCATTTCTTACCTTGAATTAAATTTCAGTTATATAGGTACAAATAGGAGATAATGTTTCAGTATTTTAATACTAAAATAATCACTACCAAAATAAAAATGTATATGTAATATATCATTACAAACACTTCTACATTAGTAGGAGAGTAATTCATTCTCAGAAGTTAATTCTCCTACAGATGTTCTCATGTTGATTAATTGTCAATAAATAAAAAATTACCTGGAAGTGTTTGTGTCATGACTGTGAAACTAATCCAGGATCCAATCTGTTAATATAAAATCCCAAAGTTAGCATACACCTGTAGTTCATCCAGATATTTAATCACTTGTGGTCTTAAATAAGTCATTTGAAAGGTCAAAACATTACAAAAGTTATGACTACAAAGAAATTTAACATAACTTTTACATGTGAAAGCCACAAAGGGTCACAAATAATCATGACATTCATAACATAAAAGAGCATTGTTTTAAAATCTTTACTATACTCAAAATTCTAATATATCTCATGCTATGTTATATAAAGCTTAAAAATTCCTTAAGTGTGCATATATTTATGTAAAATATTAATATACCTGTCAATATCTTTAGAAAAATCTATCTGTAGATTGTGCATAATATATTTAAAGCATGTAGTTGTGGGTTCAATATATATAGAATGCAGTTCAGTCATTTGCTTATGTAAATACCATACCTCATAGGTGTAGTTGGGACAGGAAACCAGGAAAAAGAGCCATGTAAAGGGGTTATAATTTGCACTTGGAAAACAGGCATTGCTTCCTTTTAAGAAAGATGAGAAAAATGTCAATTACAATATAAGTTGCTGCAAATGATACAGTACAATTTTAAGTAATATCAAATTCCAAATATCAAATGAGTACAATCATATAACACATGAAATGTCATCTATTCATAGCAATTTATTTCATAAATATCCCAGAAGAGTCATAGTTTCAAATGTTGTAACATTTTGACTCAGAGGGAACAGCTCTCATTTTTTAACATTTCTACATCTATGTTGCTTTAAAATTGTGAGGTGCAAAGTATTAACAATTATTTAAAGAATTAAATGATGCATAGTAATTACTCTGTATAACATAATACCTGCAGCAGAGTTCTATTCCTAAATTATATATAAAAAAAAGCTTTGCTAATTCCATGGCTTTTTACATTCTCTCTTAGTGTCAAAAAATAATTGTTTGAGATTATATATACCTCAAAACTCACTACCAAATTATTGAAAATCCAAAGGGAATTATATAAGGATGTCATTTATATGAAATGAGTCTGAAAATTTCTTGAGAGTTATCTTGAATCAGTATAGTCAATATTCAGAAATACCACAGAAGTTATTTTGGCTAATCAATCAAAAATGTTATTTACAGCTTCCATTGTATTTAGCACACCATTAATTTTCTCCCAGTAAATTTTTTTCAGGGAACATTTTGGCAAAAAAATGTATAATGATTTCAATTTGAACTTTGAATTGTGACACTTGTAAAAGAAAATATGAATTACAAAATTACAATTTTATTCTCCATAGCAAAATTTAATTAGATAGTAAATCAACTAATCACATTTAGTTACTATTATAAAGTCATAATGGAATGTCAATGTGCTGTGTTCAAAAATATAACTGTGGTTGAAATATCAAGTTAAAATATATGAATAACGTGCAGATATCATTATTGCTCACTTTATGACAAAGATGAGCACATGTTGCTAGTTCTCTTAGAATAACAGTTCTCAACCAGTGGGTGATGACCCCTTAGGTGGTTGAATGATCCTTTCACAGGAGTCACCTAAGACCATCAGAAAATCCATGTTTACATTATGATTCATAAGAGTGGCAAAATTACAGTTTTGAAGTAGCAACAAAAATAATTTTATGGTTGGGGGTCACCACAAATGAGGAACTGTATTAAAGGGCTCCAGCATCATGAAAATTGAGAATCTCTGTCTAAGAACATTTATGTAAACATGTCATGTAAGGCCCATAGAGTAGTCAAAAGAAAGTTTTTTGGAAGCTAATTCAGTCAGAGAGGCTAGAGATACACATGAGATCATCTGAGACAAGCCTCTAGATAATGAATGTTTAGCTCTAGGCATTGATTATTAATGTGTTCACAAGTCCACATTTGTTTTTTACTATTTGAAGATTAAAATATTTTCTTGATTCAAAAAAGAGACCAATAACAAGGTTATGTCTAGTTTTTATTAGTCTCAACATAGTCTTTGATTGGAATTTTAAATTCATAACTTTTCAGGACTACATTTATTGTTCATCCCAGATTTAGAATGATACAGATGGTCATTGGAGACATATATTAATATGTTTATTAAACTCTGAATTTCAGTGTCACTTTTTTCTCTGTATGAATGAAATGACCTCCTGAAAAAAATATATAAACAACCATCTCCTTCTCAGCATCTGCATCCCAGGAAATATACCATGAATGATTTTTCATCAGGATTTTCCACAAATCAGATATTAGAATGGTCTTTTAGAGTTGAGGAACTTTCTGAAGAGTATACAGTAAGCACTGTATTATACGTAGATAGATAATGCAGAATAAATTGTTGCTGGTATAAGGACACAATATAAATGTGTAACTATTCACTACTGATATGCTGGTATTCAATAGTGATGGACAGGGTGCTTTGGCATGTTCAATAAAAGGAAAAGAATTAAGTGGGATTTTAATAAATATACCCAATATAGTTTAAACTTAGTTAAAACTGCAAGTGATAAATTCAAATTAAAGGTAAAATATAAATGCTACTAAGGCCTCCTTGTTAGCATGTGTAGTGTAGCTATTTCCTCTGTATTGAAATTGTCCTTGTTAGAGACAGAAGGATGTTCATAAGACTCAAGAAGTATTCAATCTCCTGAGGCCCCTCCAGAAAATAACAGAAACAGTGAATATTTTCTGGTGAGAAAAGACTCTTCAAATTTTGCAAGGATATCTAGAATTGCAAGTTTTGTGTGTTCATACATTCTGGAGTGGGCTTTTCATTGATTTGTCTGCTTTGAGTCACACATGGTCCTTTAAGAACCCCTTGCTCATGTGCCTGCTTGTTGCTCCAATAAATTCATTGCTTTCCCAAGACAGACTTGGGTGAAATTATTCATTGGTTCATCTGGGATGAACAAATATCTATCATGTCTTCTAGGAAATGTGACATGAGAACATGTGAAGAGTCCTGATCATGTACCATGATAAGGCAGCTAAAGTCCAAACTCGGACTAGCATTATATATGAAGAGTAATAAGGCAGTAAGACCACACAGGTCCATTGTAAGCAGAGATAGCCAAGCCAAGGCAATATCTAAACATTTTCCACTATCTACATTTCCTTGAAATCCTTGAGACTGCAGAAGTTACCCAATCATCCTTACTAAACTTCAGCATCCACTTTCTATACTGCAGTCTATAGGCCACTACCCTAGAAGAAATAAACAGAGTAAAATTTGTAAAAGGAAGATGTGAAGTTGGGAGGGAGATAAGATTTGAGGTCCTGGGAGTAGTCAGAAGGTAGGAATGGAGGATGATATGAAAAAGTTACGTGGTATTCAAGTATAAAAAATTCAAAAGATAAAATTGATTTTTGAAAGATAATCCTCATCTTCCCTCCTAACCTTTGTCAGTAGGATTACATCAGTTTGGCGCCTATCTGACATGTTTCTAGGTCTGCAGTGTGTGTAGATGTATTAAGCATGAAAAAAAATTGGAAGAGCAGGATGAATATAAAAGAACTAACCTGTGTGACTGGGATGAGCCAACACTGTATTGATAAAATGATTTCCAGCTTCACAAATCTGCAAAATATAATACAGATTTTCAATTAACAAGAGGGAATTTTGCAACAACATTAGAAGTTTATATTGTGGGCTTATATCTAGCCACCAATATTTAGTTACAGCTAGATAGAAATTCTGAAGATAGTCTTCACTATGTTAACAAGCAGGTTCAAATGTCTGTATTAATTCGTCAGTGCTATCTGCTTTTCATCATGTTTTCTGGGTAGTTTTTTTTTTTTAATCATGAAGTTATTGTACATGCTGTTAAAGAAAGACTTCATAACAGTATGCACTCTCAGTTCATTAATACAAGAGCAACAGTTTTAGTGCAAGAATCACAGTTCGATACTCTGTTTCAGCTCAGTTTGTGAGCTAATTACAATACAGCACAGTATCCAGGCTGTGACATGTTAATTCCTCATTTTTATTAGTCAGGTTTACAGTGATTTAAAACACAGCAAATGAAATAGAACCAAGAAAATGATGAGTAGTTTAGCTAGGTAAGTAGCAGATAATGTAGCTAAAGAGGAAGGGTAAAAGCAAATATAAAGGATGGAATTGGTAAAGAGAGCAGCATCACCAAAAGCAAACCAGTTCGATCCACATTGTAGTAGTGGTGACAGTGTCTTGAAGACCATCATTAGGTGTGATTCTACATTATTAGAATTTAAATTGTCTTGGATAATAAAATGGTATACTCTACAAATGAAGTCAGTGTGACTATTATGGAAAATAAGTGGAAATTTTAATGGAGTTTACATTTGAATTAATTTTAAAGAAAATTTAATTATTATTTTGTGAGTTGATAAAATCCTCATTAGGTAGTTCAGCCATTTGTAACTTAATGCTAGGTTCATTATTCAACTTAATAATATGATAATATTAATTATTTAATAATATTTTGTTACTATATTCAGTTACTATATGGATGAATATGAAATAGAAAAGAAATATCATATAATACAGAAATGTTGTAGTGGAGATGCTCTTTAATTGCTGCTCAGTATTATGCCTAGACTCCAAACAAATGAAAATGAGAATGACTAGAAATAACTTATCTTTATATTATATAATGAATGCTCTTTCTTATAAACAAGTCTTGTTAAGTAATTTCTTTATTTTCTGAAGCTAATTTTATTTGTAAAAACAAAAATCCAAAAACTCTTAAGACAAGACTTGGAATCAATTCTTTCAATCTTTTTTAGTAATATTAATTCCATCTTTCATGTAAAACACCTTTCAGTGTAATCTCTGCAGACTTTATAGGAATCACAATATTCTGCCTTGTCATTTGAACTGCCCTCACATTCTGATTACTATGGCTTAGTATGATTAATAATCAATGATCATATAAAGTATATTATGTCTAACATTGACACTGGGAAATAGGAAAGAGAGCCATTGTACTAATTAAATTGAAATATAAAATCTACTAATGACTTTCAAAGGTTAACTGAGTTTTTTCAGATTTAGATGTATTTTCTTCATAAAAAAATAAGGATAGCAAAAATAACTGGAATTTTATCTATTTTTACTATAGTATTCAAATTACTGGAACATTTTTTGCTATATATGATTAGAGATTTTTTTTTTTTTTTTTTTTTTTTGGTTTTTCGAGACAGGGTTTCTCTGTGTAGCTTTGTGCCTTTTTCCTGGAACTCACTTGGTAGCCCAGGCTGGCCTTGAACTCACAGAGATCCGCCTGGCTCTGCCTCCCAAGTGCTGGGATTAAAGGCGTGCGCCACCAACGCCCGGCAGATTAGAGATTATTTTAAGTTTGAAAATTGTTAATTATACTGATTTGGAGGATTTAGCTTCAACTTTAGATGTTATTGCCTATATGTTCCTTTGAAATAAATTGCTATTTAATAGATAAGGGCAATGCAATAATATTTCAATAGTCACAAATGATTTTTATGATAACTTAGATTGATATATGTAGCTTGAGTTTTCCTGACTGGCCCACAGTCAGGACAAATCTCTGTCACCCGCCAGTCCCACAGCTACTCAAACCCGACCAAGTAAACACAGAGACTTATATTGGTTACAAACTGTATGGCCGTGGCAGGCTTCTTGCTAACTGTTCTTACAGCTTAAATTAATCCATTTCTATTAATCTATACCTTGCCACGTGGCTTGTGGCTTACCGGTACTTTACATCTTCCTTGTCCTGATGGCGACTGGCAGTGTCTCCCTCACCCAGCTTCCTGTTCTCTCAATTCTCCTCTCTGTTAGTCCCGCCTATACTTCCTGCCTGGCCACTGACCAATCAGTGATTTATTCATTGACCAATCAGCAACACATTTGACATACAGACCATCCCACAGCAGATATATTCCTAAAATTATATACTTAAAATTCCTGGTTTGTCTATATTTTTATTTTTTTAACTGTTTTTTATTTTTATTTTTCAAAACTTTTAGTACATATTTCAGTTTATAAATAATCCATTAACATGCATTGTTTTAATAAAAATTTATTTTAAAACTGATTTTTTTTAATAATTGTCCAGTGATTTTTTTTTACTTTTGAAAAAAGTAAATATTTCGCAATGATTTTAAATAAATTTCATATAGTTTTTAATTTACATGTTACAAATTAAACCTTTTTTTATCTTTTTTTTTCAAGACAGTGTTTCTCTGTGTAGTTTTGGTGCCCGTCCTGGATCTTGCTCTGTAGACCAGGCTGGCCTCGAATTCACAGAGATCCCCCTAGCTCTGCCTTCTGAATGCAGGGATTAAATGCATGGGTTACCACCATCCGGCTTAAAATTAAAATTTATTAAATTGTTTGTATAAATTTGTTTTATTTGCTTTGATTATTGGAGATAAAAATTTGTTCAAAAAATTATAAGATCACTGCATTTTGGAACTTTTTGAATGATTTAAAATTTTCATTTTTACTTCTATAATCTACCTCATTACCATAGTTTTTACAATGTATCACCTTATTTGTAAATCTATGGAGTTTTCACAAATTATTTTGTGCACTCTGAATACCACACATTGAGTTTTGAGAAAGCAGATGAGAGATAACATGCTCTGACTGTGGAATAAGTGATGACCCCAAGCTTTCTTGTAGACATTTTCTTCATTGGCTTTCATATTATGTAGCTTAAAAAGAAATACAAGTTTTATGTTTACATAATAGTTACTGATTTTAATTTAAATCAGTTGTTCTCAGTCCATGGTCATACTCCCTTTTGGTGTTGCATATCAGATATCTTGAGCATCAGATATTGACATTATGATTGATAACAGGCTTGTACTTCCCTCTCCATCCCTGTTACTTAAGGCTCAACACACACAAGGCCAAGTTTATATTCCTTTCCAAGCTACATCTCTCTTCTTACTTCTCTATTTCTGTGAGACAAGTATTAAATTTATCTAATTGAAAAAAATTGTTAAAATGCAATGTGGTCTGAATATTGTTTTACCAGGTAAAGGTCTATTCTAGTAAAGAACAGAAGCAAAGATCAACATAAATGAATGTTATCATTTTTAGATTCAACAGTACCTAAAGTAACAAAAAATAAAGGTTTGCAAATAAAATTTTATAAGAAAAATTTAGCCCCTGCAATTGAGGTATATATTTATGATTGAAATATACATTATTGAATACTTATCATTATTTCCCTATTGATTGCTGTGTTTAATAACTGACTGCACTAAGTTCTGTTAGTTTAATGAAAGAAAATTTACAATAGTCTGAACTTAAAAGGAGTTGTGATTTCTTCACAAATGAAATATACATATAGCATTCATACTAAAATGAATTAATCTTACACTTGTTTATTCATTTATAAATGACTAAAATCATCTTTAAATTATCTCCTTATGTTTGTAATATATGTAGATCTTCTGGATTTACATGATATATTCAAGCCTGAACAAATCTTTAAAAGTTATATTCTGCAATATTATCTATTACCTAAATTGTATCTGAGTAACAAATGTTTGCAAAATTTAAATCCATATGGCAAGCATGGATAATTATTAAGAATCCCTTAGGCCATCAATTATGTTTTTTTCTGTTCCCCATAACTATAGCTTGCAAGAGGTTCAATGAAGACTTATGTCTTATTTGCAAACTTTGATGATTTCCTGCTAGTAAAATTACATTGTTTTCACTTTTAAGAAAGATTATAAAATGTCTCCAATATTATCTCTGCTTAAAATCAAAGGTATTCTTTTCTGTTGGAAATCCATCTTAACACATGTCTTTAAACCTAAAGACCTGAGTAATCACAAATTCATTAAACCTTTATAAATTGAAATAAAAAATAATTGACACATGCTCAAAAATGTGAAATTACAGTCACCATGCTTCTCTCTACCACATTTGTAGTGGATTCTATTACTGCTGCAAGTACTGCATGAATGTACATTAGCTTCCTGGACTTTCCTAATTTTTCCCAGGATTGTATGGTAAATAACGTTGATAAGTTTATATGAAAACACGAATCATTGGCGTATGAATGAACAGAACAAATCAGTTGCACATTTCAAGTTGTTAGAATTTTGCTTGTGTCTTATTATGTATTGACTCTAAGATGGTTGTGATATAAATTTTTGGAAAATCTCTAGCTTTTTTATTTTTACATGTGCCTTTCATATGCAATGGAGGAGGGGAAATCAGTAAGTGTCTACAGCACACTGGAGAAAACAGAGTAAATCAACGGCAGCACGTGAAGGGAGGAGTGTGAATCACACCAAAATGAGATTGTAAACATGTTATAAACAGCAACAAAACGCAGTGCAAGGAAGGAGAAAAAGCAGAGTCACAACAAGAGGCATACAACAAAGACAACAACAGAGCCCAAAGTTAAGTAACAATTGAAATAGATTGGTGTGTGTGTGTGTGTGTGTGTGTGTGTGTGTGTGTGTGTGTGTGTGTGAGAGAGAGAGAGAGAGAGAGAGAGAGAGAGAGAGAGAGAGAGCCAAATACTCCCTCTGCCAAAACTTTCTGAGTAGTTCACAGTCATAAAATCATTACAAATAAAATGAAGCTAAAAATTTATTCTGCCTGGACCATGGAGAAGAATAAAGTTAAATGTTTAGTGTACTTCACCATTTTAATTAATAGTAAAAATAAACAATATGTAATATTTATAGACTAAATATAGATATCTTACTATGTGCAAATGTAGTCACTTATAAGATACATCCTAATATTATTTGTCACAATGGTAAAGCTAATATAAGCATAAAAATACTTTGTTCACTGGACTGATTTGTTAAAAGAAGAAAGAATTTTACATGCTCATATCAACTTGTATATAATTCAGTGAATAAGCATGTTTGCTTACATGGGATGATGGGGAAGAAAAGGATTGTGAGAACAATTTAGAAAGGACCCATCCCTAGTTTAATGCTCAGTACCACTAATTAAATCAAACAGATGTAAAATTTTTCTTTATACTTAATCAATAAATAATTTAATTTTTTTAAATATTTATGTGTTAGAATTATGATGTTTGCTCTTAGAGGTTTTTTAATTCATAAATGTATAGATCCTAATTTTTTACTGTTTACTATATTTCAAAAAATTCTGGTTATCTGACTGCAGAATTTTTTATAGGAAGGAATATTTAACAACTAATGAGTAAATTATATAAAGTTGTTTGTTTTGTTCTACTTTATATGTATATATGCGGTTCATATTTCATACAAAATTTAGAATATCAAGAAAAAACACTCTATAATACATACCAGAAAGCTGATAGCAGATATTGTTATTTGTCTGTTTCCAAATGCTGTAAAGGAAAAGCAGATGCAATGTTAGCAAGCCCTCCTATTGGATCTTTATCCTGAAGACATTAATCAGACATAATTTCAGTATCCAACAGTCCAGTCCTCTAATTAAAAAGATTGAAATATGCATTTGATTTTTTAATACTATACATTTGATCTGTAAAATATTTAAATTATTTTTGTTTACTCATGTACTTTTCTTCCTCTATTCTAATAGTGTTTAGAAAATGAATGGAATAACATAAAATTAATAGGTATTCTTAAGCTCTTTGTTAATAGATTACCTCTTGTTTAGTTCTCATTTTCAATACATGTATAACATGGCCCAGCAAACAGCAAAAACTTGCAATTTCATTTTTCTTATTTAACAATGTAATGGAAACAATCATATTTCTTTTATCTTGTACCTCTCATATTTACTTTTTAATTGTAAAAATTTTGAGTATGCTTTGTATTCGATTCTGTTGTAAATGCTTCATATTTATCATAAGAACAAGTAGAAAAGACATGGCTTTTACAATTTTCATTATTTTTTAAATATATTTATTTATAGAAGTGTGTGTACTCATTTTATTTTGTGCATGTGGAGGTCATATACATGTATTTATATGAATATATGTATATATATGTATACACACACACATGCACAAGCATATATATGTGGTGGTTTGAAAGAAAATGGCCCTCAAAGGGAGTGGCAGTTGTGGCATTATTAGGAGCTGTGGAACTGTTTGAGAAAGTGTGTCACTGTGGAGGTGTACTCTGAGGTCTCATGTATGTTCAAGCCACACCCAGTGTCTCAGAACACATCATGTTGCCTGTGTAAGATGTAGAACTCTCAGCTACCTCTCCAGCACCATGTCTGCCTGAGTGCTGCTATGTCCCACCATGATGCTAGTGGACTGAACCTCTGAACTGTAAGCCAACCAATTAAATATTGTCCTTTATAAGAGTTTCCATGGTCATGGTGTCTTTTCACAGCAGTAGAAACCCTGAATAAGACAGAAGTTGGTACTTGGAACATGAGTATTGCTGTAACAGGCCTGATCATGTTTTCATTTGGAGGAATGTGGAATTTGGTCCTTGGTTTAGCAAAGCAATGGAATGCTTTAAGCACTATTGAGTGGACTGCTCTAGTAGGGCCATGGAAGACAATGGTACTGAGAATGATTTGAACTGTTGGGGGCTGGCTCAAGAGGTTTCAGAAGAGAAGAATTTTAGTATGTTGCCTAAAGATCATTCTTGTGATACTTCGGTGAAGAAAGCAGCTGCCTTTTGCCCTTGTCTGAAGAATCTGCCTAAAGCTAAAGTGAAGCGTTTTGGATTAATTAACTTGGCAGAGGAAATTTCAAAACAGTCTAAAATAGACTCTGTAGTGTTATTATTAGTGGTAAGTCTTTTGAAGATTTATAAAGAAAAGGAGCAAGCCGAGCAGGGTAAATTACAAAGTGTAAAATCTGAGGAGAAAAAGAGCACCAGGAAATGGAATGGAGCCAAGTCCTGTGTTCAAAGTGATAAACAGATTAAGAAATGGAATAAAGGGAGTGGTGATTTCAAGGCAAGATCCCATCAAGCTAAGTTTCCAACTTGTAAAAAGGAGTTCATGTAAAGCTTAAAGCCAGGTGTGGTGGTGCACACCTTTAACCCCAGCACTCCAAAGGCAGAGGCTGAATTTGAGGCCAGACTGGTCAACAGAGCAAGTTCAAGGACAGCCAAGCTTAGGATGTGAAGGAAGCCATGGAAAACTGAAAGCTAGTGAAGATGCAATTGACCAAGTGGACCATGTTCCAACACCAGCAAGCACCAGAACTTGGCCGATCTGGCCACATGGTGCTGGCTTTAAGGATAGGAAAAAAAAGTGGGGGCATTATAAATTATTTATCTGTGACTAAAGAAAGCAGCTGAGATCATGCACATGTCAGGGGATCTTGCTTTTGATTTTATAGGTAATTACATTTAAGAGATTGCATGAATCTCAGAACAGTCTTTGGACTTTGGACTTTGAAACATTGTTGAGTCTGTGATAGACTATGAGCACTTCTGATGCTTGACTAAATGCATTTTTGCATTATCATATAGCTACAAGTCTTTGAGTTCCAGGGAGTAAAATGTAGTGGTTTATAAGAAAATGGTCTCCAAAGGGAGTGGCACTATTAGGAAGTGTGGCTTTATTAGAGTGGATGTGGCCTTGTTAGAGAAAGTATGTCACTGTGGAGGTGTGCTTTGGGGTCTCATAGATGCTCAAACTACACCCAGTGTCTCAGACCACTTCCAGTTGCCTATGCAAGACTTAGAACTGTCAGCTACTTCTCCAGCACCATGTCTGCATGCATGGTGTCATGTCTCATGATAATGGACAGAGCCTCTGAATTATATGCCATCCAACTAAATGTTGTCCCTTATAAGAGTTGTTGTGGTCATGGTGTCTCTTCATAGCAATAGAAACCCTAACTAAGACACTATCCACACACACGCACACACACACACACACACACACACACACACACACACACCACGATATATATTTATACATTATATAACAATAAATATGTTATACTATATATGTGCATGTATATGTATATAATGATTACATATACATATAGCCTAGAGTTCATTTGGTGCTACTTGTGTGTACATTTGTATAAGGCTGACCATTTGGGGACTATTAGGGGATTCAGTCTTGAGGAATATTGATTCTTCCTTTCTTAGCGTACATAATAACTCAGTGGTTATATTTCCTTTTAACTTTAGCTTTTATCACTTCACTATGTCAATTTTTGAAGCAATTAAAGAGTTCTTAGAGAGAGAGAGAAAATATCCATGTCAGCCAAATTTAGTCTTTCAAGCCTACATGGAAATTTAATGAATTATGATATGAAATAAATTGAAAATTCATATTTTCATTAACTTTTCTGTTAAGTATAAGATGTTCAATTTTTATGGATTTAAAAGCTGAACACAGAACTTGATAATTTAGCAAGGGGTTAGTTAAGAAGAAATTGTACGTACAAGGTGGTGTATATCTTGGGTGATTAATATAATATGCAATCCAAGAAGTGAATCCCCAATAAAATGCACATCCCTACAAATAAAGCAAGAAAAAATAAAAGTTATAGAAATGATACAATATACAGTACGTTATTTTAACATACCCTTACATTTACATGCACACGTTAGCCTTTTAAAATGTCTTTTGTTGATTTAGTTCTTTGAAAATTTCCTACCTATATAAAATATGTCTGCTTACTTTAACATCTCATCCTCTTAATCTCTCACCCACAAGCCTTTACATACTATTTTGCATACAAGTCCCCTTCCCTTCCTATATCTACATCTGATTTTTTGTTTGTTTGTTTCTTTTTGGAGAGTCACTGAGATTAATCAGGATCATCAGTGTCACAATGATGGTCTCCTCTGTGGGTGGAAAACTGAAGAAAATGACTGCCTTTCCCCAGACTCAATCAACAGTCATAGGAATTCATGCCTGGTACTGTATACCTGGTCCAAAATTGGCACCCGAGGAAGTCTTAAGCTCTCTAGGCGAATTTAATGTAATTTTAGCTAAATTGTCATGGAGCAATGCTGATTTCTAAACATTTATGTTTCTATTCTCAGACAAATGCTATGCCCTTTCTTAGAGAAACTTCTCTTGAGGCAAATGCTGCGGAATAAAAAGTCATGATTGGCTTATCTCTGAACAAGATCTTTACAGAATGCCCTCTAAGTCCTAGAGACTATCACTGAATTGGAGGCATTGTGAATGTAAGAACTGAAAGGCAGGAAGTCTGTGTGATCCTGTTTTCTGCTGATGGTACAGGCAATACAGGAAAGTCCTCACAGCTCATGGACTGCCTACAGTGGGCTTAAAACACTACAGAGCCTTTCATTAGAGCACCACAGATCAGGAAGGAGCTCACAGGACCTTGTCTCTCCCACAGAACTACTGGCTATTACAGCATATTTTTATAAAGTGTCTAAACTTAATACATGGAATGCTTCTTCCCATCATGAGGAACTGTGTAAAGTTATATTTTAGTATCACTGAGTAAGCACATAATTTAGTTCCATGTTTTTGGTTTTATATTAATGAATATTTGAGAAAAAGTTCAAAGATTTATATTGTATAATTATTTATTAAGAATGATTGATTTTCATCAAGATATTAATGAACTAAGAGAAATGATCTATAGCAAAGTAATAATAACACTAAATACAGCAATGATCAGCCTAATTTTAGCACTATTGTATGTTGATTGAGTGTAAAAGCAAGTGTCAGACTTGGTTCAAAGAGGAGACTGTCTAAGCATTCTAAAAATCACTGTCTTGAAAGGAGAATGTTGGGTAAGATCATAATAAAATTTCAGTAGAAAGATATGTTATATTTAAATTTGAACTGAAAGTGTAAAGTGTATGTTTCCTAATGTCTTGTTTTCAATTCAGTGTTTGAAAACTTTCCCATTTTCTTGATAGTTTCTTGACCTTGGACATCTATCAATTTTCACCGTTTTCACATGGCAGATTTTAGCATCACTCTGGCAGCTATGATATCTATAAATTACTATGTGGGTTTCTTCCTTTTCAAATGGATTTAAGGAATCTGATTTAATTCTCACAATGAAGACATTTTCATGCATGATAGACCTATGCTCCTAGAAAGCCTTTCTCTGTAGATTAACTAAGATTAAGGCTCAAATGGGATGGGGGATTAGAACATAAGGGAACAGGATGGTTGAGCTGGAACAGGGACAGAGTGGGAGAGTAACTAGTGGAAATGCATGAACTGTGAACCAATGGCTGAGGAGCCCCCATGGAACTGGATCAGGCCCTCTGGATAAGTGAGACAGTTGATGAGCTTGAACTGTTTAGGAGGCCCCCAGGCAGTGGGACCGGGACCTGTCCTTGGTGCATGAGCTGGCTTTTTGGAATCTAGGGCCTATGCTGAGACACTTTGCTTAGCCTTGGTGCAGGGAGGAGGGGACTAGACCTCCTCAACTGAATCTACCAGGCTAGGCTGAATCCCCAAGGGAGCCCTTGCCTTGGAAGAGGTGGGAATGGGGGGTGGATTGGGGGTGAAGGCTGGGGGTGGGAGAAGGGAGGACAGGGGAATCCGTGGCTGATATGTAAAATGAAATTAATTATAAAATAAAATATTTATTTAAAAAAAGAGATATCTTGATAAAGGGAGACATCATGGCGATAGGGAAAAACCTGGTGCTGGGGAAGTTCCCAGGAATTCACAAGGATGACCCCAGCTTAGACTACTAGTAATAGTGGAGAGGGTGCCTGAGCTGGGTTACCCTGGTAACCAGATTGGTGAATACTCTGTCAACATGGAGCCTTCATCCAGTAATTGACAGAAGCAGATGCAGAGATCCATAGCCAAGTACCAGGCCACAGTCCAGGAATCCAGCCAAAGAGAGGGAAGAGGGATTCTATGAGCAAGGGGTGTGTGTGTGTGGGGGGGTCAAGATCACAATGGGGAAACACACAGAGACAGCTGATCAGAGCTCGTGGGAACTCATGAACTTTAGACCAACAGCTGTAGAGCCTGCATGCAATCGAACTAAGACCTCTGAATATGGGTGAAAGTTGTGTGGCTTGGTTTGTTTGTGGGGCTCCTGGCAGTGGACTAGGATCCAACCCTGGTGCTTGAGCTGGCTTTTTGGAGCCCACTTCCTATGGTGGGACACCTCACACAGCCTTGATGTAGGACGAGGGCCTTGGACCTACCTCAACTGAATGTATCAGGCTTTGCTGGCTTCCCAGAGGAGCCTTTACCCTTTCAGAGGAGGAAATGGGGTGGGGTGGGGTGGGGTGGAGGTAGAGGCTGAATAGGGGGAGCAGGAGGAAGGAAGAGAGGGGGATCTGTGGTTGGTGTGTAAAATGAATAAAAAATTTCTTAATACAGAAAAAAAAAACCACCTCTCAAAAAATGTCTGCTATATGCTGACATAACTAAAGAAGAGAAACCTGGTTTTAAGGAAAAGGTGATTTTCCTATAGAAGATGCTCCTGTTTTGTTGATGATTGTTTTCAACTGGGCAAAAGCCAGAGTTTCTGCATAGAGGGAATGTAAACTGATAAAATGCCTCTATAAGATTTGAATGCATGTCTGAGTGACAGTTCCTTAATGAGTGACTGATGTGGGGGGACCCATGCCATTATGGATGGTGACTTTCCTGTGCAGGTGGTCTTGGATGCATAACAAAGCAGGCTGCACAAATGAAAAACAGTAAGACAGTGAGCAGCACTCCTCCATGGCTTCCATGTTCCAGTTCCTGTCACCAGGGCTCCCCTTAGTGATAGGCTTATTAATACAATGTGAAATAAACTCTTTTCCCCCCGAGTTGTTTTTGGTCATAGTGCCCCCCAACAGGGATTGAAACCCTAACTAATACAATGATGCAATGTATTATTATCTATTATTTTTCCCAGTTTAAAAAAAATGACATATCTTAATTCTCACCTTTATCAAGTTTTTCGTAGGACTGTGTCCTGAAGAAACTTTATGGACAAATAAAGTTTCCAGAAGGTGTCGGATGTAGTGGATGCAATGGCAGAAGCAAGCCAAGCTGGAAAATGAAGAAATGAATAAACAATTAAATTCCTTTTCAAAAGCCTCCTCGCCATATTGCAGGGAACTATAGAGTTGGCTTGGCCTAGCTGCGGTGAGAAGCATGAGTCACAGTCTTTTCAGGTTAGAATCTGTGACCCCTGGGACACAATGTACCTTCCAGTTCCTGAGAGACCAATGCCTTTCTCTAGGCAGTGAAGCATTCAGGCCACTTTGTTTCTCTGTATGTTCCCTTAGTAGTCAAGAAAGCGTAGAACCTTGACAGGACAGTTGGTCTTAGACATTAATCTTCTGTACCTTGTATGACTTTCAGACTTCACTGTATCCTGGCAACTACAACTGTATTGATCCTGGAAATTCCCATTATATTCTGTTTCAGACAAAGGTGTAAAAGGTCTGATTGCTCTCAATAAAATTACCACAGCCTCAGTTGTGTTGTGGCCCCTCCAAGGGGCTTGATTTAATTCCTTTCGGCCATATCAGGTGATCTTGGCCCCATGAATAACGGTAGGCACTTAAACCATATTATAAGACTATTTAAAGGTTAGTTATTTGTATATATTATATGCTTAGCAAATGGCTTGCCACACCCACTCCCTTCTTTTTTCTTGCCCTTCTCCACCACAGTAAATACTTGTGCCTGCAGTATTACTTCTGCTTTCATGTCATATATATATATAATTTTATAGCTACTCATAGATTCTAGCAAATATTTTAATTTTATAGTATATCACAGTATCTCATTTAACAAGAAATCTTATTCAATGCTAATTACCCATAGCTGTTTCCTTATTTTTCTAAATAATTTCAAATTTTATTTAATAAGTAAACTAATACAAATATCAAAATTCACTTCTGATGATACTAGAAATACTCCATAATATCAACCATAGTTTTTTTTGCACCCATATTCCCTAGGAGGAACAAAAATCATAATTCACAATGAGCTCCTAAGAAACTGCCTAGAGACTGAAGCAGATAATGAACAAGTTTAAAAATAACCAGTGCCTATGCTGAGTGCAGCTGACATTTTGAAATATTCAAAATTACTTTTTAATTGTTTGGTTGTCCTTTAGCAATTACTATAAGATTGAGAAGGTTGGAATGTCATTTTCTGTGCTACCATAAAGCATCCTTTATTTTTTGGTTTTGTCTACCTGACACATTGCCACATGTGTCTCTTTATATACCTGTTTCTCTTGTAGTTTAAGACTCTTTCTTTGCCATTTTAAAATAATGTTTTGAAAGTAAATATCAACTGTCTTTTAGTGTGGCCAATTTCCCTGGACAAAATTAAAATGGTTTATTCTCTACTAGCATATTTAACTATTTTATTGTAAGTAAAAGGTAAAATGTTTAAAAATTGATTTTTCTTAAAAAATAAGCATGGATCAAAGATAATATACTTTAAGCAATTGAGTGGAGTAAACATTTTAGATATTATTTAATATATTTAATATAAGACAGTTTATCAGAGCAAGAGCTGTTTTTAAGAAATATATATAAATATACTGGATGTACTAGTAGTAGGGATTCAAATAAAACATGAAATAATTACCATATATTGCTAAGCATAAGTTTACAATACCAGGCAAAATTACAATACCCTCCTATTGCCTGGGCCTTCAGTCCAATTAGAGGGCTCTTAGTAATCCTCAAGGTATAAGTGCCACTAACACACCCCTGAGTATATTTTGCCAAGCTGATCATTGAAGTGGTTTGTAAGTTTTACAGCTGGATATGACTATTGATTGGTCTTCTCCCTGGGCATCTTACACTCTTCCTTACATTACTACAATAACTGATCCTGAGGGAGTAGTTTTCCAGGTCAGTTCACCTGGATTCCTCCAAGTTGTATATTCAAAGTCTGTAGTGTATTTAGCAATATGTCATGGAATTGAAGTTGTTTGAGGCATTCAAGGACAATTGTAACAGCTTATTTTTTTTTTTTTAGTTTCCTCTGATTAACACTTCATCATAAACATGTTCTTAATCTTAAATGATGTCATTTTGAGATCACATGCCTTTGAATCATGCAAAATGTTTCATAAATCCCTGATAACTGTTCAAACCTGTGTAACTAAATCAAATTATTTGTGGAAGCTTAACATTTTTGTGCTTTGGAAAATAATAAGTGGTACAGATGTATTTGTTACCAAGATATTATCAAACGTGTGTGTTTAAGAGTAGTAATTACTGTCAGTCAGTTCACTTGAAACTAAAATTGCTCATCTTCCAAGCTGTGCCATATATTCAATATATGCTAGAGTTCAGTCATAAAATACAAGGGTCATTACTTTCTCTTTCCAAGGTCTTCAACTCACTCTCTAAATTAATTAAACATTCTATGTAATTTTAGGAAAATGAAGAAGTTAATATTTCAGAGTTTGCTTGACAAGCCTATCATTACCAGGAATCAATTTCTTGTTGTTCCCCTGTGAATGGCTACATCAGCCATTCTTCTGTTTCTACAGTGTACTAATTACTTTGTATCATAGATCACTTTCATATGAATAGTTGTCAGATTCACTAGTTGAAATCTGACCCATTATTTACCCAAGGTGAAATAAGTATGTATGCATTGGGTTCATCTTCCAAGTCATTCAAATTATTTCAATGAGCCATTTATATTCAGTGAGCCTTATAAGGCATGCCATGTCAACAATTCACTGCATCTATTGTGGAAGTTAAATTCAACTGAGGGAAAAATATCAAAATGATGACAGTAACAGTTTAAAATAATACATTGTCTAAAAGCAAGTCAAACTAGCAAGATTTATGGAAGTCACTGGAATGGTTACTCTGAGTGAGAAATTTTGACATCGTGATTGGGATATAGATAATTGATAAGAGAGGGGGAATGAGAATTGGGAATGACATAATAGAACAAAACAAATTGTGTGAAGAAGGGCAGTAGGGAATCAGGACAAGAAGTCCTCAGCATGGCTGCAGCTTAGCATCTGTGATGAGATGAAAAAGTAAGGGTCAAATTTGTTATTTTTACTAGTGTCCACAGGACCTCAATGTTCTTTCTTAATTTACTTGGGATATTTTTAATTCATGGAATTTGAAGTTTTGTTCTCTTTTTATCCTTTTAACACATTTTAATGTGGTATTTTGAATAACCGCACCCCTTTTTAATATGCATGTCTTCTGAGAGACATGGAGATAGACCTGGAGGGAGAATAAAGGATACATTGTTTTCACAACAGGCTAACAACCACAGTTGCATATTTTGATAACTGTCCTGCTACTAACAAAAAGTCAATCACATTCAAGTACTATTTAATTTAGGGTTTTAACTTACTAAAAGTATCCAGGAATTTTTTTCCATAGTTATGTCTTTCTTCTCTATGTAATATTGCTAATTGTTTAAGTCACTCTCCACTTCATAGTTTCAAGTGTATTTTCCTGTTTCTGAATTGCCTGCCATGCACTGTTTGTTGTTTGCTATAGCTTGCTACTCTAACTGAACTACTCTTAACAGTTTGGGACTTTAAAAGTACAAACTGTTTTGTCTTTTATCATTAGCTAAAATTCGTTGTTCTACAATTAAATCTTCTTCAGTGGGGATTTCAGCCAATATTTACTAGGATCGTACTTGCTTGCTGAGGAATGTTCTGGTCTTAAGAAAATATGATTTAAGATTATTCAAGTTTATTATGTTTTTAACAGACTTAATTCAATTTATTTTTTCTCTATAAAAACCCTCTATGGTAGTCACAGATGGAATGTGGGTCCTATGAACAGAGGCTCTGGTGTTGGTTTTCCACAGAAGGTCAGTGAATTCCTGGTAAGGAGAATGGGTGAATTTGGTCTCTTTCTAGAGATCTGTGGTCAAATAGCTATAGGTCTTGGAGATGGCATCAAAAGTGACCTTGGCTAATGCGTAGTAGTCATTGATACTGGCCATCAGCAACAGCTTCTTGGGCACAGGAGCAGGGATAATGACAGTGCCCCTGTGGGCAGGGACCGGCTCAGAGAAACAGTGGCTTGTCACCCTGCAAGGTATAGGGTAGGACTTTCCATTCTTGTTTCCTCAGTAGCCTCTGAGGAATGGTTAACAGGGAAATCTTCGCCAAGATAGTGGCCCCTTGGATGTCAGTAGCCACCTTCTTGGAGCACTTAGCACTAAGACCCGCAAGACCATTAGAGTTCCCAATAGTGGGAAAAGCTTTGAATCTGATCTGCTTGTCATCTGGAGTATGCTTCTGCACTGGCAGTCTCTCTCTCTTTTTTTCTTTTTCTCTCTCTCTCTCATTTAAATTTAAATTCTAAATTCTTAAATATAGAATTTAAATTTTTTATATTTTCTCCAACATAATCTTATCATTGATTATTTAGGAATTTCATACAAGCACCCCTATTGCACTCCATTCCCTTCCTCCCAGGTCCAAACTCTCACCCTTGTGCCCCGTCCCACATAAAAAATACACCATGTCCAATTTGTGCTGCCCATATACTCATTGGAGCATGGTCAAATTACCAGTGGCCAGGCCTTTAACAATAATTGGGTCCTCCCCCACCTCTGGCCCTGTGCTGCCACCACAAACCGTCAACTGTGAAGAGCTACACTTCAGCATCTTTATCAAAGTCATGTCTGGACTGTTGCTTTTTCTTTTGGGGGGGGGGTGTATCACAGAAGCCTCCAGTGTCTCTCACTCTCAGTTATGAATCCACAGTCATTGATAATACTTCAAAAGCAGCTTCTTTGCCCATACCAGCCAGAGGCAGCATGGATCATGAACTTCCACATGGTTTCAGGTGGCAACATGCACCACAGACAATAGCATGGCTTCCAGCTGTAGCATGGACCATGGATATTACCATGGCCTCCAGCAGCAGCCCTGATCTATAGAATCTCATCTTTTAGGGATTCTTCCAGGAAAATGTCAATAATCTTGGATTCCTTAATGGACAAGGAGAACAGGTAGATCTCTTTCAGAGACTTGGATTTTCATATCCTTGAACAGGCAGCCCAGCTTGGTCAGAGGAATGAAATCCTTGTTTTCATAGTTACCTGCAAGAGCCTGGCAGCCTAGACCTTGACCCCCTAAGACAGCTGCAGAATCACCCAAGGAAGGCACAGAAGCCTAAGGCTAGACTCTTGGTCCACAGAGCCCTTCTGCTGCACCAGTATCAGCCCAATTGACTGCTTTACCAAAGAAGATGGTTCTATTTTTGAGACAGGGTCTTTCTGCACAGCCCTGGTTATGTTGGTACTCATTATACAGACCAGGTTGTCCATAAACTCACAGAAATCATCCTTCCTCTGCCTCACAGCATGCTGGGATTAAAGGTGTGCTCTATGCCAGGTCTTTCAACTTCATTATATAAAAGCTATATGAATTAGTTATAATTGTAAGATGAACCTTGGATTTTTTATATTGTTTTCTCTGCTAAGCTTATATAGTCCATCATTCTTTCCCGATGCTGGGGCAGCTGTGACTAAGCCATGAATAGAAGGTGAATAGCTGGTCCTTTATACTGTGCTAAGGTCTAAAAACTACTGGTCCAAATGTTAGATTAACTTTAACTTCTGGTGCCTTTATCTGACAATGTAATTATTGAGAAGTGGTCCCAACATAATTAGGGGTGCATCTGTCACCCTTTGTGTCCCCATGTGTCACTTACTGTACCACAGGGTGTCGAGGCCGCCGAGAGCTCTCCTTCACATCATATATGTATGAGCTCCTCAAGTAGAAAAGAAGGTATATTAGTAGAGGTCCCGAGAACTCAGCCAAAAAGACCTAAAGACAGAAAGTAAATTTGGGTTAAAAAATGCTTTTATAAATATTTTAAGAGATACCTACATTCATAAGCATTCATCAAATACGTAGATACTGCCAGATATTAATTATGCTCAGAAGAATCCACTTAAGGAAATGGATAATGTAGAGATAATTTTAAAAATAATTTTGAACAACTTTTATTTGTAAATGAAAGCATTCACAGTTATATTAATGCAGCTATTCACACAAACATTTGCCCAGTACCAAACTTTATACATCTCAATGAATTTCTATATCATTATAATGGTCATTCTGAGGCAGTGTGTTTCACTTACAGTTTCACATTTTCACTCTTCATTATACTTTAAGGTACTTATCCACCACAAACACACACAAAAAAGTGACAGATTTGAAACTAGAAAAATGATTAGCTTTATATCCTCTGATTTTGAACTGAGTACCAGACTTTAATGGAAATAGTGCAAAATCATTTTATCTGATAAGTAAATCATTTTAAATACACTTTCAATTTTGTCCTGCCCATTCCATGTCCTATATGAAGTATCCCACTCACTGTAAAGAACATCAGTGAAAGTATCTATTTTTTTCCATTTTTCATTCTTTTCTTTTGCCAAATATTTCCTTCATTAACTCAATTAACTTGACTATCATTAAAATAAAAAATTGGAAATGTTATACCTTATGATACTTAGCTGTAAGAGTCAACTAGACATATTCTGCAATTACTTGGGAACAGAATATTAATGAGAGATTTTCTATGTTATATTGCTCTGTGGTCATGCCTGTAGAGGATTGTCTTATTTAAATAAATTTTTCTAGAAAGGCTCAGCTTACTGTGCAATACTGAATCTGAGTCACGAGGATCATGAGTTTAAAGCCAGCCTAGGTTATAGAAAAGAATAAGTACCTTACATGCACATATACTTATATACTTATGGAATTATGTATTATATATAAATATATAGCTAGGTTTATATAATGGAATATGTAATATTATTATATATTTACATTTATATTCTTGTATTTCTTTATTATAATTCTGATCATTAGCAATGTATTTATCTTAGGCCCAAAGAGACCAGAGATAAAAAAAAAAAACTGTAAAACATGTGATAATATGCTATGGGATGTTTTTCTCTGTGCTGTGAATGTGTGTTGTTCCTATTGGTTAATAAATGGACTGATTTAGCCTATGGCAAGTCAGCTTATAGGCAGGTGGAAAATCCAGGAGAGACACAAGAAAGGGAGAGACAGGCAGAGAGGAGACACTGCTAGCCACCACCAGTAGAAGCAAGATGTAAAAATACTGGTAAGCCACAAGCCATGTGGCAAAGTATAGATTTACAGAAATGGGTTAAAAATGTAAGAGCTAGCTAGCAAGAAGATTGAGCCATTAGGCCATATAGTTTGAAAATAATACAAGCCTTTGTGAGTTTATTTGTGTCTGAGCAGCTGTAGGATCAGACAGAACACAGAAAAACTTCTCACTACAATAATATAAATTTCATATAAAAATGTATATTAATTTATGGCCTATGATATGTCTCATTATTGAAATGCAAAGATATTATTTTGCTGAACATGCTGGTTCATATCTATAAATCAACATTTAAGAGGATGGGGCAGTAAAATTGCAGTGAGTTTGAAGCCAGATGGGGTACAATATGAGAGCCTATCTCAACAAGAAATAGAGACAAAGAGACAGAGAGAAAGAAAGAAAGAAAGAAAGAAAGAAAGAAAGAAAGAAAGAAAGAAAGAAAGAAAGAAAGAAAGGAAGGAAGGAAGGAAGGAAGGAAGGAAGGAAGAAAGAAAGAAAAAACAAGTAGAGAGAAAGAGACAGTAAGATTATTAACCATTATCAATATCCCATAACCAGTTTCAGTTATTATTTTGTGATAATGAGAAGGCTGTATTCATTATATGAAAATTTCTTAAATATTTATTTCAAGGCCATCTGATTTAACAGTCAAATTTTAGCAAATTCTGTATGATATATCCAATATGAAAAATGTTGTGAATAATAGTGAAATTTGATGAAAAGCCACTATAATTTAAGCTAATAAAATTTTATCAGATATTATGTATGGAGTTCTTCAGAGTCAGAGGAAATTAAACTATGTTCTTCTTTCTGTCATTTCTTAAATAAAATTCAGGATGGGATGCTCACAGGCATGAATTCAATTTAACAGCCAACATTTTATCACAAATATTGTGCATTCTGAAACATGGCAGTTCAAAAGAGAACTAGATATGAATTATAAATCCTGAATACACTAAAGAATGACACAAACTTTTGGACAATATCTCTCTCATAGCATTCATTTGAGTGCAAATAAAAGAAAAGATGAGAGATACTTTATTAAACTGAAAAGGTTATCAAAAATTGTTCTATGATGAAAAGCAAGGACTGCATAGATACATTACTGTAGTAGCTTACTTTTCCAGTAAAAAAATAAAATAGAGCCCAAATAGATGCTTGTGCACAGACAAGCAAGGCAAGTGATAAGGACCCGCAAAGTCTGGAAACTCCACTATAAACAGTAAGGCCTTGTTTTTATTTTGAATTCATGAAGTACACTTAAGTTTTAATTTATTTATTTTATACTATGCTAATGTGCTTTTCCCTTCAATTTTCTCCACATTCCACTAATGTAATGTTTTTCTTGAAAAAAAAAAAGAATTTAACTATGCAGTGGAGGTCCTTGTGAGCCTTTGGAGTTATTTACCATTGGTATCTGTAGGAAGTTATTCTAGGGTCCCATGGTACCAAAACTTGCATGGTCAAGTTCCTTAAATTAAATGGAATAGTATTTGTGTAAATTTACACACTTTGGTACACTGTAAATAACATCTGAGATATTTATATTGGGTGATGCAATCTATATGGTGTAGGAATCTTTGTGTCCTATATATTTTGGAAAACAAAGAAAATCAGATTTGTATGTGTTCAAGATGTATGTGTTCAGCCATGGCAAGTCTTACTATAGAGAACAAGGCTGGGGCATGATTGAATGTGCAGGTCAAGTGCCAGCAAGTATGCAAGACAACCGGAATTACAGTGATTAGACCAAAATAATGTTTCAATAAGAACATAAAAACTGTAGTGATAAGTCGAGTAGGTTTTCTACACTTAATCTTTTCTCGATGAATTTAGGATTTCTTGGAAATTTGTCTTTAGTTTTACCATATTACGGTGTTGAGAGTTTGCATTCTTATTCTATACTTGTGTTTTACTCCTGAAAACAATTTAAATAACATATTTCAGAGATACTGAAAATCAACAATAGAAACAAAGTGATTTTAAACAACTGCAAAACAAAGGAGAATTGTGGATTAAAATAAATAAGTATTCTCTTAAATACTTAAAAGTAATATTACATTGCTTTAGGGAATATCACTGATAATAGTATCATGTTAGACAAGTATTGTTTTCCTTTATTTTTATGTGAATATATACTATGTAATCTACCAAAGGTTCAAATAATAGGGTTAACACACTTGTGCTTAAACATATCCATCAATGTGCTCAAGGACATAAAAGGAAAGATAGACAATTTAGATATTGGAAAACATTGAGAAAAAGAATAAGAAAAAATAGAAACCTAGAAGGATGATAAAGAAGCCACACATGAAGAAATAAAAAAAATACCTATATCTATATAAAACTGCAAAAACATGTTAAATTAATGCTGTATATCAAAAATATAATATGCAGAAACATTATCAAAATTGTGATATTAAATTAAAACTGATGATGTCAAAATAAAACCAAATTTTAAGATAACCTAAAGATCAGACTGATTACTATTAACATAAAAAGCTGATATTTTACAGAAATAATCAAGTCAGAAATGAAGATGTGAAATTTTATGGAGAAAAAAATGTATATTTATTTTCTATGACATACTCTTTAATACATTTTAATAGCTTACAAATGTGTATGTCTTACGTGTGGTAAAATATTTCTATTGTACGATTTAGTGGATACAAAAAGGGTGTGATTAAAAATGTGCATCTTTAGCATTTAATAAAACTGACCCATTTAGATCAAAAGAACATTTGAACCATGGGAGAGATTAAAAAACGTCCATGCTATTTCCAGAGCTTGGTTTGTCACTTAGATGACTTTCCTCTCAAATAAGGTATAATTTTCTAGTACAGTTATCAAAGAATTCCACTGTCCTGCTTCTTCTCGTCGTTGCTTATCCCCTTCATGTAGCTGGAAGTTTCTTTTTTTTTTTTTCTGGTTTTTCTGAGACAGGGTTTCTCTGTGTAGCTTTGAGCCTTTCCTGGAACTCACTTTGGAGACCAGGCTGGCCTCGAACTCACAGAGATCTGCCTGGCTCTGCCTCCTGAACGCTGGGATTAAAGGTGTGTGCCACCACCGCCTGACCAGCTGGAAGTTTCTAATGAACTCATGGCTTATGCCTCTCACCTTGACACAATCCCTGTAAACAAGATTTTCTTTTCATCATGTTTGCTCAAAGGATGTTAGGATATTTGAATCCTGGTAGATCACATCTACCAATCTGAAATATCCTTAACTAAGTACACTGAAGCTTCATATTAAATATTATATTCTTTTTTAGAAAATACATGCATCAATAGTTTTACCTAAACATTCCTATGTTTCACAAGAATTAATATTATTTTAAATTTAATTTTAGTCTAAAAATTTTTTACCCAAAGGCTCCACAGTCTCAATAAACTAAAACAATTTTTAATACCAAAAATAACCCCACTCTAGAAGAACTCATTACTAAATACAGAAGGGAACTATATATTAAAATTAAGTTGGAAAGGTAACAAATATGGCAGCATTTTATTAGTAAACATAAACATGAATTTCTGTCTCAGAGAAATTTTTAATATATAACTGAGCATGCATATTTATTACTTTTAAAACATCTATCTGTTTATTTAATGTGCACGTGTCTTTTGTCTGTGTGCATGTCTGTGCAATGTGGGCATAAAGAGCCTGTGGAGGTCAGGAGGGGTCATTGGATTGAGAATTGTAAGAAGTGAGGTAGGGCTGGGAATAGAAACTGAGGCCTCTGAATAAGTGCTGAGCAATCTCTCCACCCCCATATTTAATAATTTTAAATTGATTATATAAAGAAAGTACTTCAAATTTTACAAATGATTAAATTCATTTTAGTGCCAGCAAAACAAAATCCATTCAAGTGAAAAACACTGATGCAAACACATTACAAATATAGATCATGTTGTAATTCAAAACATAAATGTTCACATTTGAAATGTATACACAAAAGATGCCTATTGAGAAAAGAAAATGAAGACAGAGAAGGCCCCATTCTCTGTAGATCATTGCAAGAATTACTTATCATGTTAGGTGTTTCTTTGAACTAAAAATCCTATAGAGTTTACTCTTGCTGCTGAAGCTTTTCTATTACTTGATTGCATCAATCATAAGTAGTTCAATCTCTTGAATTGGTTTCAAGAATTTTCCCCTTAATTTCCTTTGGTGTAGCCCTCCTGTTTCTATATCATTAAATGCAGATGAGGCAATTTTGAGAACTATATTTCTTCTCAAAGAGTGGAGGGAGAAGCCTAAAGAATGTACCCATAAGCCCAAGGAAGTCTTACTTCTTCATTCTTGGTAATTCTGTATTAGAACCTCCTTCATAAAGACTATTGTATCTACACCTTCTCATTCCAGTGTGAAGAATATCCTTGAAATATCTAGGCTTCTGGAAAAAGAAAACCTAAAGCAATATCACTCAACAGACAAGACAAAAAGTAAACACATGGACATGACATGAAAGAAAATATATTTGCTTCCTGTCTTTCCACACATATCTAGAGCTTCACTAGAACTTTGGGCACTGATTTCATTACAACTATAGTAGAATTCCTATCATTGCAAGAAAGAGGCCTTAAATACAAACATGAAATTTATAAAATGGGGCATACGTACTAAACTCCAATTGACACTTACTGTTGTCCAACTGACTTGTTGACCTAAGTCTGTAAAATAGAGTGTGATAATTGACGAAGCTGCAACACTTTGAACAGTGATGTAGTCTTTCAAAAAAGGGCCACCTAAAATAAAGCAATGAGAAAATACTATTTAAATATAATTTTATGGCACAGTAACAAAGAACTTCTTTATATGAAACTGGTGACTACTTAGGATTAGAATTATGCAGTCATTCTATAACACATGTAAATGTTATAAGACATGAACCATTCCATTTAAGTAATTCATGTATCAGTTTTTTCAAACATAAAGTTTACAAAAAACTTTTGGTGAAAAATACAGACTGTAATTAGCTTTTACGAAAAGAATGGAAGGGAGATGACTGGAGAAATTCCCTATGAAAATTCAACTCAATCATCACTTTGCTCCAGCTTTCATGTGTCCTAAACAGATAATATAGGCAATGTGTGTGTGCGTGCGTGTGTGTGTGTGTGTGTGTGTGTGTGTGTGTGTGTGTGTGTGTGACTGTAAATGGAGGTTGCTCTTAAGTGTCATTTTTTGCTAACATATTATATAACAATATAAAGTAAATATGACATGGAAAACAATTTGCAACCAACATGGTCAATACTACTATGACAGTAATGTATAAGATCATAGAATATTTGTATAACAAAAATTTGAATTATTTTTTGTACCTTTGCAAATATGCTGAAAACCTTCCTGACAGATGACTATTGGGTTCTTTAATAGGGGAATCAATTTATACTCTGCTATTGTCTTTGAAAACTTTAAATAATAAAACACTCCAATTTTTCGTTGTTTAATGCAGTCCCACCAATACAAAATTTTGAAAACAATAAACCACATACATCATAAATCATACCAATCTCTTTGTGTGTGTGTGCGTGTGTGTGCACGCGCGTGTGTGTGTGTGTGTGTGTGTGTGTGTGTGTGTGTGTGTGTGTGTGTAGGGAAGATGATATCCTTGTGCATCCTCCTTGAATGTGTGGGTGGAAGGCAGAAGTTGGCCTCAGTATCTTTCTTTCCTTTTCCATCTCTCTTCTTGATGCTAACTTGCCCTCAAGCCCCCACGGGTCCTTCTGACATTAGCACACTCAGCCAGTCCCTGGGTTACAGGCACATGCCCCCCAGTCTGTCTCTTACAGGAGTGCTGAGGATACAAATTTACATAGAAAACTCTTTCTCACTGACCCATTTTCCTAGTCCTAATCACTCATTCCACCCTCAAACTTAGGAATCTGGAGCCCCATCCTTTGCCTTCTAAGAAAATGTCTTTATGTCAAGGAGAAAAAAATATAGAAAAGTATACAGAGAGAGTGAACATGCTGAGACAAAGCACCTGCCGTTCCTAGATCACAGTTTTGTCCAATTCAGAACTCATAATTTCCTGCCCCAACAAGCTCAAACACAAACCAGTCTTCAATTGCTCTAAACAATGGGCTAGACTCAGGAACACTTCCTACACCTAGATGTTTGACACAGATATCGTATGCAGGGTGTGCATTAAGCTTTTCTGTATTGGAAATTATGAAATTGGAAGCCATTTATACTCAAGTTTTAGCTTTTCAGTTATGGCATTTCAATGGCCGTAACTAAAAATTCCAGTGCACCTACCAGAACACTCTGAAGCATAGTAATACAGATACGGATACAAGAAACATGTTTTTTTTTTAACGTTTTAAGTGCCAAATTTATTATAATAATGGTTTTAATACATGGCCATTCTTATTTCTGTGTCATTTTAATTATGACGGTAGGTCTCCTCCATGATAATTGATATCTCCGTTCTGGCTCTGGGAAGATAGAATGGTCTCCTGATTGCTTTAGCTAAGAGATTATCTGAAGAGAGCTTTGTGGCTCTAAGCCTGGGCCTCAAAAAATTCTTGAATGCCTTCCTGCTCATCGTTCACATGCCCACTTCCACCTTGTGAGTAAGCCTGTTTGTTCTACTAAAGGCCAACAGATTACTTAGCTCACAATAGAAATGCTGCTCTCCTGTGCATGCTAGATCAATGGGTGATTGTAGTTGAATGTGTGAGTCTGTCCAAGTTCAGCAAACTACAACCAGTTCAGAAAAACACTGGGGTAAATAAATACTTGTCATTTAATACATAAAAAATGATACTGAGTTTTGTTTTACCATTATCTGTTGCGTGAGGAAATTAAGATTCTAATTTCATAGGGGGATTGATCATTAAGCAAAAGATACTGCCAAATGTATTCTAGGAGCACCTCTCTGTAGTGATTGTGGTGCTGATTGGTGATAGACTCCCCTTTTCTCCTCCTGTGGGAATAGTTGCTACTACTATAGATGCATATGTAAAATGTTGAAATTCAGTAACATAATCTAACTTAACATTGTAAAACATTGATACTACAGAGAAAGCCCTGCAATTACAAAAGCTGGATGCTTTTCCAGAAGACCCAAGTTTGGTTCCAGCACCAGTGATGAGTAGACCAAAACTATCTGTGATTCTAACTCCATGGGAGTTCGATTCTCCATTTTGGCTTCTATAGATTTCTGCAGAAACATCACACATGCACACACACACACACACACACACACACAGAGAGAGAGAGAGAGAGAGAGAGAGAGAGAGAGAGAGAGAGAGAGAGAGAGAGAGAGAGAGAGAGAGAGAATGAGAGACAGACAGACAGACAGACAGATATTTAAAGACTTCGTTGACTTTTGTTATCGAGAGTGCATGAAAATAAAGGTCACATAGATAGGTAATTAGAAAAGTCAACTTAAAATTGAGTTAACTAGAAGAAACTTCACTTTGCACAATACACTGCTTACTTCAATGAATTAATTCACTCTCTAAAACAAACAAACAAACAAACAAAACATCAATTTCTGTCCAGACATTTAGTACGCAGTTTTATTTTGCTCAAACCACTTTCAAGTCCCAACAACCCAGGAAGAATATAGGAAAATGCCTTGACCACTGGATTTGTGCTAACCAATCCTTTAGGCCTTTGGAGTGTGACTTAAAGGGATACTGATGGCTGTTGCACTCTCGACAGTCTTTGTACTAGGGATTGTTAAAATAGTACAGTCATTTTTATTTATACAAATTATAGATGCTGGAGGTCGATAGAAATATCACAATGCTTTTGCTCCTGTAAAATCAGTAAGACACAGATTTGCTTTAAAAATATGATTATGATACATGTCCGACTGAAATAACATGAATTCTAAAAATGTGACAGATCCCAATATTTTCAATGTGCAGGTTCCAGAGAAAAGGAGAATAGTAAAGAAACAACATATCTTTCAAACATTTAGAGAAATAGGAATTTGATTTAAATTCTAGTGATGTTTGAGAATTGTGAACATGACTATTATTAAAGGAATAAGAAAATCCACCTTTTTTTTTCAAGACAGGGTTTCTCTGTGTAGCTTTGCGCCTTTCCTCGAATTCGTTTTGGAGACCAGGCTGGCCTCGAACTCACAGAGGTCCACCTGCCTCTAATTTTTAATTAATATATTTTAGGTTGTAACTCCTTAATAAGTGCTTCCTATAAATGCCCTACTAAGTTTTTAAAAATACATTTAACACTCCTTGCAAAACTCTAAATATTCATTCTAGCTACAGGTCTCCTATAAACAGGTTTAAATGTGAGGTTCAGTAGATGCAATGTCAATAATATGGGTTCTCAACTAGAACTCATTTATAGATTTATATTTTTAAATTCTGGTAATGTTGCATCTACTAGTAGATGTATTTTCCTCGGTTTCATCAGTTTTGCCTGTCTTTATCATAGTGTTCTATTTATGGAATCAAAAGAGCAATTAAAAATAATTTTTAAAGATAAAATAGAGATGCACTAGAGTGTTAGACTCAAGTGAGGTGATGTTTACATGCATAGACTAAGTAATAAATGGGAGTTACTAAGCTCAGAAGACAAATTGTAAGTTAAATAAATTGATTGGTTGAAATTGGTCTTACCATATTCTAGTTGTAGGCCAACTCTGGAAGGGTACCACTTTGGACCTATGTGTTGAAAGAGAACATTTAATCATTAGCAAGAATAGAAATTTAGCTTTAAGATATAGAGGTTCTCATGGGAAGACAGCATTCTTATTGGAAAGGGAATACAACATTCATATCAAACACAGACAGAGTACTTTTCATTGGCAGGGAGCTGAGATTGTGATTGGACTATGCAGTTGTGCTCATGTTATGAGCATGTACCAATCCTTATGGTCCAAGACAGGCAGCATATGTCATATAATTAATTCTTCAATAAAAATCTACATATTGATGGAAAATAATGACTTTGGCTTTCATTGGAAATTCCTCTAAGTTTGGCACCAGAAACTATACCATTTCTTTAGGAGCAATGTGCTCTATCAGAATAATTCCTATTGTCTTAGGCTCTCCATCAGAATGATATATAGAGAAGTGAAGTGCTCCTTAAAAATGATATGTATGATTGACTTTGATTATTGTCAATGTATTAATTAAAGCACGAATATTAGTTTATATGTTCTTTTTGGGCAACATATATGAATGGACAGAATAATATTTTCTTTATAATAAATCCTGAACATTTTTATAACATATTGTAGTATCGAAAATATTATTTCCAAAATTCAAAGATAATCACATTCAATTATCCTAAATATCTGTTGGAGTAAATGCCAAACAATTCTATCCAACATCAAATAGTAAATTAATAAGTGTATTTATAAGAAAATTCTACCATTATCATTTTCCCACATAAATAAATTTTAATTATTACTAAAAACAACTGAGGCAAATGTGACTGGACTTCCTTTTCAGCCACTAGCCCCAAATAATGACATGGAGACTTAATATTAATTATGAAAAATTGGCCTTTAGCTTAGGCTTTTTTCCTACTAGCTCGTATAACTTGAGTTAGTCCACTTCTATTAATTTACATTTTGCCATGTGGCTTTTATCTCTTTTTCATTTTGTACATTCAGTTTTTGTACATTCCAATTTCCATGAGGGAAAAATCCTAAAAAAGAATTTATATTCATGCATTAAGGTTATTGAGAGTTATTCATAAACAAAATTTAGAGGTAATAATTACTAAGATTACACATAAATACTGTGACATTTACCTCTTTTAGACAGTCTGCAGGTTAGAAGCATCATTTTATTTCAGCTTATATTAACTAACATGCTTACTACTGTTATATTGATTTATAGTTATGAATTGTATGCTAGTATTGTTTATTGAAAATTACTTAAAGATAGTTTTGCTACCATGTAACCTACAGACAAAAAAAATATGATGCAACTAAGTGCTACAGAAGACTCAACAGTTTTAATTGAGCTTGTGAGGACATTTGATATTGAACCAAATACAAGCCATCCACTTAGATTTCGAAATCTACTTGTATTTGACAGACAGCAACTGACCCCTGTGATAGTTGTATATATAAGCAGTCAGGTTCTATCAATTTAAATAACATCCGCTGAAGACATCACTTTCCATAGCAACTTATGAGGCCATCTTAAGTGGAAATGCCAAAGCAAAAATAACTATTATAACTATTATTCCTTACATGCAGTCTTTCCTTATGAGCTAGATGATGTGTATTGGCCTGCAAAATGGCAGAATATGTATATATATATAATTATTGTTAATTATTAATATGATTTTATTTATTAATATAATCAATATATATTAAATTATAAGGAGCTTGAGATGTATAAGGGTACTTATCTTATTCTAACAGCTTCAAGGTTTTAACAATGCAGAAGACAGACCATGGTGTCACAGTTAAATGGTTAATGTAGGAGTATGTAGGAGTATAAGATGACAGCATCTCAGCAGGAGCAACAGTAAACTCGACTTATACAATAGCTATTGTACTCTGACCACAACTGAAATTTTTTTCTAACACTATCTAATAACACTTTGAATACATTAAATCTTGCCACAAGTAAAATATATTTCACTAAATTATTTATCATCAATGATTCACTTGAAGAGTAAGGACATAATGTTGTCAATGTACCTACAATAACATAACATCTTTTAAAAAAAGGTAATGCATGTGGGGAATCAAAATGGATAAACAAAGAGTAATATAAAGTATCCAGTTTATTTGGGAATTGTATCAGAAATAACAACCTAATGCAGCATACGTGCAATGACACAGAGTAATTCGGAATTCCATACCAGAAAAGAAGCAAAGGCAAGAGAACACCAGCAGTTCTTAAGAGCAGTCTGATGGAAACATTAGAGCAAAACAGTGGATCAAAACTATAATGCGTCTTTTATACTTCATAGAGAATTATAATTAATAGTATAAATGTTAAAAATAAATAAGGCTAGGATATTATTCAAACCCAATAGAAATATTTATTATGAATCTCTTCAACTCATGAAATAAACTTAATGTACAGTAACTTTCCAGATTGAATCAAAATCATTGGAAACGTGATTGAAAACCCATCTTGAGCTCGACCAGTTACCAGGTGTGTTTCAAATGACATCCTATTGAAGACAATCTTTCTAAGACAGCTAAGTAAACTGAGAGCATAAAGAAAGCATGTGAGCAGAGTTTCAGCAGGCTAAAGGAGAGAAAACTTCCTAAACACATGCTAGAATAGACATATTGTACTCATACTAAATGAAAGTGTACATGAGCTCTGCACCTGCTTTTACATTTCAGAATTTACAGAAAGATAAAAATGAGACCATTCATAGAAAATGTGAAACATGTTAATTAGAGATGGTTTCATAGACTATTTCCGAAATGGAGCATGTGTTCATCTGAAAGAGAAATGTTTACAAATTAAAGCTATGGCTACTCCACTCCTCAAAACTTTAAATAAACTTGACAGGTTTACTTAAGAGAATAGTTAGTAGGTCAAATGATAGAAAGAAGTTTGTTTGGGGTTTTTTTTGTACATGGTAAGCATGTCTTTAAATTGAAATTAGTACCAATTAAGTTTTTATCATTGATGTGTGTCATACATATATATATATATATATATATATATATATATATACGTATATATATATGTATATATATATGTATGTATGTATGTGTGTTACATATATTTGTGTGTTTTCATGTACTTTCTTGATTAAATCAAAATAATTGTTTTCCCTATAATAGTTGCCATGATCATATTGTCTATTCACAGAAATAAAAACCCTAACTAAGACAGAGGATGAGAGTGTTTGCTTTAATTTCAAAGACCAGAGTTCAGTTCCCAGCACCCATATCAAGTGGCTGACAAACACCTGTAACTTCAGCTTCAGGGAATCTAACACCACACCCTCTTCCCACATCTGTCAACACACAGTTACACACATGCAAACACACATAGAGACACAAAGACACAGAGACACACACAAAGACACACACATACACACACACATACTTATATACACATAACAATAAAAATAAACTTTAGCCGGGCGGTGGTGGCGCACGCCTTTAATCCCAGCACTCGGGAGGCAGAGCCAGGTGGATCTCTGTGAGTTCGAGGCCAGCCTGGGCTACCAAGTGAGTTCCAGGAAAGGCGCAAAGCTACACAGAGAAACCCTGTCTCGAAAAACCAAAAAAAAAAAAAAATAAATAAACTTTAAAAGAATTCAAATATGTAAAACAGACTAAAACAAGTAGGATGATGTAAGTCGATATATGGCATCCAGACATACATAAATATATTCCTTACTGCAAAGATAGGCTACCTGTTCTGGTCCATCCCTTCTGAGAACAGTTATAAAAGCTTAAAGTCTTCAATACTTCAGAAATTCTCTAGCTAGAGATTAAGTAAAGGATGAATGGGAAAGACAAGGTTTAGGTTAAGGACATCCAAGAAGCTTAGCCTAACAGGAAGAGCCTTAGGTTTCCTCTTCGCATGAGGGTGAGATTGCCCATGCCAGCAAGCTGCACAGAGCTGTGCTTGTAGCACATAAATATAAAGCTTTATTACTAGTCATGTTGAAGATCTGAATGAAGTGCAGTGCTTCAGCCAGAACATGAAAACAGTGGGAATTAGAAACAGACAGCTCTTACAAGAAAAAGCAAACTTTCAACCATCCCGATTCTAGTTTAATTCTTGTTTAACAAAAGTGAACTCTGTTCTCAAAATTTAGTATCATTTCTTGAATACACGAATATAGACCTTAGGAGAAAAGGATGCCTTTATCCATGCTGTAGAATGCCAGTAAAATAAGCATGATATTCAATGAATGTAGAAACTATGAAAAGAAACTGTACTTTCACTGCAGTTAACTATTAGTTTTAGTTGATATACTGTCTTTTTTTGATTCTGAATTGTTTACTTTCTCAGCTTTAAAAATTTAAAGTGTTGTTTCTAATATATATATATATATATATATATATATATATATATATATATATATATATATATATATAAATGAGTGTGTGTATGTGTGTGTGTACGTGTGTATTCACAAAATGCTTCTTTAATTACTACCTTGGCATATATTTCAAGATTTTAAAACCTTTGAAAAATATGTCAACAAAACTGTGTGCTTCCTTTTACTTTTTGGTTCTGGGATTTCAGTACTTTATATTTCCACAGTATATTACATGAATAACTGAGTCTTCTCTATTCTTTATATTTTCCTGGTTGGTTTTGTCTGCACATATTCTTCCAATTTATAGCTCACTACTGCATAAAATCTTTAAATGACCTTTATCTCATCTTTGATTTTAAAAATGAATTTCTTTCTTCTCAGCAAATGAACTAAGAGACCAAAGAAAAGAATAACATCAACAAAACAATTCAAGCAAATGAAGTACATGGGTCATTCCATAAAATTTTAGAATAGCTATGTAATTTGATTATGGAAGATGATATTGATATTAGTTATTATCATTGTAAAGAATAAATAAATTTTTAACAATAGTATAAAATGTGGGAATTATTCTTCTCTAACTATTAATTTTGTGACTTATTTATGAAGAACATTGGAATATTGATTGAGCTTATATTTGAAAATGTAGAATTGTTTTAATAGAAAGCAGCAT